CTGAGAAATAGAGTATAACATGGTAAATTTATTTTCTCTATATGTTTGTATATACTTGGTCCTCTGTATATTTCTGAACTCTTTGTAAAGAGAAAAAAAGTACAAACGTTCAATCTCTTTGCTAACTTATTCATTGCTAAATTTATTACAAATATTTCTTCAGAGATCTCCAAATGTTTTTGCTGCAAGGGACAAAAGCATAATAAATATTCTGCTATGTCAAGGTGTTTATTATCTCATACAAACACACAAGTATAAATACATATCTGGAGTAATGAGTTAGATTAAGTAAGTTAGACAAAAGTTGATGGTAACCAGTCTAAAAAAAATAGAAAGGCATTTTTGTTTCTTTTTTTCTGTATTATCAATTTGCTCTTCAAGTCAATGATTTTAAGAACATGTATATTAATGTTCCTATGAAAATGGAACTATAGCTGTCTTCCTATGAAAGCACAAAATATATTCCTAATATTAATGGAAGTAGAAACAGTATACCAAGGTAAGTATTCCTGGTCTGTGATGAAAGACAAGGACAGGACCTGGTGGCTTCCTTTCTGGAAACCCATCCCCCAATGCTCAATGAGTGTGTGTGCCATATAGTCAGTTAAAAGATCATAACTAAAATTAAATAATTTAGATATATCAGAGAGAGAGAGAGAGAGCAAGTATACACAAGCTTGTACATGTAACTTAAGACGTCTGGGTCCCAAATGTCTGATTGTGCAGTTTTAGTCCCAGACTTGGAGGCTTGAAAATCACACCAAGTTCATGAGCATACATAAAAAACATCCTGAGAGGAGAATGCAGGAGAAGGGATTGCAGTGTAGCCATCCCTTTTGGGGGGTGATTTTTCACTTTTCTTCTCTCTTCTTCTGGTAAGAATGCATGCACCATATTGTAAAACCATTTTTTTTTAAAGTGTAAAAAGAGTCAGAGGCCACATTGTATTAAAAAGATCAATTCACTAAGAAGATGTAAAAATCATAAAACTTTATGCATTCAACATCAGAAAGAAAGACTGCTACATATGAACAGAAAGACTGACTGTAACATGCTAATTCGTGTGGACTTCAACACTGTTCTGTCACACCTGGACAGATCATTTAGACAAAAAAAAGAAGAAAAAGAGACACAAAACATAAATGATTCAATAAATTAACCAACATTTACAGAAGATTTCTGCCAAAAATATCAAAATACACATTTTTCTTAGCCACACATAGAATATTTCTGAAGATTGATCATATAATAGAGAACAAAACAAGTCTTTAAAACTAAAAAGAAAATGGAAATTATATATAGCAACTTATTTGTTACTATGTATGATAAAATAAAACTCGTACAGAAAGTGCTTTCAAAAATTTACAAATACGTGAAAATTACCTAATATACCCCGAGTAGCTTCAAAATTATTGAATAAATTAAGAATACAAATGAAAATTTCTTGAAACAAGTAATAATTTAATCACAACTCTACAGATGCTTTTAAACACATCAAAAGCACTCCTAAGAGACTAGTCTACAGCAATTAGCACTCACACACACACACACACACACACACACACACACACACACACGTTTAAAAAACTTAATAACCTAATGACTTATCCCAGCAAACTGAAAAAGTGGGACTAAGATATCCCAAAAGTATTAATAGTAGAATATATAAAATAATAAAAATTAGAACAGGCATAAATAAAACAGAAACTAAAAGAAAAACTCAGGGACAGCCAGTGGCATGATGGTTAAGGCAGATGGATCCTACATGACTGACTTGGTATTTCAGTCCTGGAACTGGCATCACTGGGTGCATGTGTGCATGCCCCAAATCCCAAAAGGAAAATGAAGGGACTGAGGTATGGTCACCATCCAGGAGGGGTGATTTCTCACTTTCCACCCTATCCCATCTCTTTCCAGAAGGTGCACACACTCTATAGCAAAGACTGACAAAAAATTTAGCAAAAAGCTGGGGTTTTGAGAAAATAAACCCAACAAACTATTAAGTAGAAAAGCAAAATAAAAAACCCAGAAAATAAGGCTTGAAAAATGTGATATTATCATGGACAGCACAGAAATACACAGATAATTATAGGTGTTTTGAGTGTTTTGAGAGACTATACATCAACAAATTGAAAAAATCTAGAGGAAATGAACTAATCTCTGAACATATAAAATATACCTAGATCAGAACCAGCAGATAGCATATATTTATTTCACAAACATTACTATTACTAACTTTTGTGACAATATTGGATTTGTAGGTTGTGTGCCACCAAGCTCCAAATTTCAAAGGTCCAGCATTAAAACACCAAACTCAAGACATAGAAGATGACAAGTACACTGCAACTGTACTACTGCTATCTTTCTGCATTATCCAGTCTCAATCCACTGTGAACAGTGTGAGATACCAACACATTCCTGAGCCAGGAGGCACTATAACTTTTTTAAAACCATTACTATAGTTTAAGAAACTAGTCTGTCTTTTGGGAACAGTTTTGCAGCTACATAGGATTTTATCAGATTGAAGACGTGACAAAGTAGCATTGTACTTCTATTAAATGTCAGTCCACAGAGCTAATAATAATACCTCAGTGTAATGTCCTTGGCAGGTGAAATTTATCACAAGGAAAGTGTAATAGCCTTTTGTTAACTAATTTTCTCTTTTACCTTTAGTGGTTAACCATGATTATGTCTTCTTTAAAGCCTTACCTGAGAGAGGCAATGCCTTAAAATAAAAAAGCATTAATGACATCAAACTATACACAAAATAGCCTTAGTCTGTACTTTGCCCTCAATGTT